GTTTATTTCACGATTTGGTGATGGAAAAGTTAGGTTTCTAAATCTGTGGCCTTCATCTTTTTTGTAGAAAATTTATAGTTTTGGTAAAAAAGCTGCATTGGTTGATTAAATCGGCGGGTTCTGTATGTCTCCCCCCTCCCCGAAGTTTGAGTGGATCCTGGGCTTTGATTTTTGATTCTCTTTAGCTGTGGGATTCTTATTTTGACTAGGAAAGAGAAGGAAAGATCGGATCGGATTGGAATTGTGAAATTTGTGGCTTTTTATTGGGTTGCATCTGAGAGATATGTTGGAGGATCGGTCGTTTGTGGCGTCGAGGGTGTTCTCAAGCTCTTGCCAGCAGGAAACTCAGTGGGCTTACTTTAACTTCACGTATCGGCTCGAGGTTGGAATGGGAAATGGTAAACGCCCATCGGAATCGGATCATCATGCCGATGACCTCCCTAAAACCTCCAGTTCTTGCTCTAGAAACGTCAGGCCTCGATCTTCAAGGGATCATCCAAACCATCCCTCCGATTCAGATTCAGGGGATGCTTCTGATTCGGGTTCTCTAATCTCTTCCATTGGCCGGGACAACTCTATTAATTGCTTAATCCGCTGCTCCAGGTCCGATTACGGTTCTATTGCCTCCTTGAGTCGAACTTTCCGTTCGCTAATCCGTAGCGGGGAGCTCTACAAGCTGAGGCGTTTGAACGGTGTGATTGAGCACTGGGTTTACTTCTCCTGCCATCTTCTCGAGTGGGAGGCTTTTGATCCAATTCAGCGCAGATGGATGCATTTGCCCAGGATGGATTCCAACGAATGTTTCATGTGCTCTGATAAGGAATCCTTGGGAGTGGGTACTGACCTTCTTGTTTTTGGTAAGGATTTAAATTCCCATGTCACTTATAGATATAGTATATTGACAAATTCCTGGTCTCCTGGAGTGAGTATGAATGATCCCAGATGCTTGTTTGGGTCTGCTAGCCAAGGGGAGATAGCAATTTTGGCTGGAGGCTGTGATTCAAATGGCAACATCCTCAACTCTGCCGAGCTCTACAATTCCGAGACTAAAACCTGGGTCACTCTTCCCAACATGACCAAACCAAGAAAGCTTTGTTCCGGGGTGTTCATGGATAAAAAATTCTACGTAATTGGCGGAGTTGGGGGAAGCGAGTCCAAGGTTCTCACATGTGGTGAAGAGTACGATTTGGAGACTAGAAAGTGGACTGAAATCCCCAACATGTCCCCTGGCCGTAATGCTGCAGCCAGGGATGGTGATATGCCAGCCGCAGCCGAAGCACCGCCCCTTCTTGCTGTCGTAAATAACGAGCTCTATGCTGCAGATCACACTGACATGGAGGTGAGGAAATATGACAAGAGGAGAAGAGAATGGTCTACAGTTGGGAGATTGCCTGAACGAGCAGTTTCAACTAATGGTTGGGGGCTTGCGTTTAGAGCTTGTGGAGATAGGCTAATTGTTATTGGCGGACCGAGGGCCATGGGGGAAGGCTATATAGAGCTCAATTCTTGGGTTCCAAGTGAGGGCCCTCCACGGTGGGATTTGCTAGCCAGGAAGCCATCTGCTAATTTTGTGTATAACTGTGCTGTGATGGGATGCTAAAACCATGGTGGAACTGGAAGGCAGCACCTGTTTTCTGTTCTCTGACGATGGTGTCTTCTCTCACTTCAACTTCCAGATGGATTGCTCAGGATGGGTTTGTTTTCTTTCTTCTACACAATGATTCTAGCTGATGAGTTATTTCCCATACTCTCTTCAGATATTTTCAACCATTGCGCAGGGAGGCGTGGGGAGGAATTCATTTTACTCAAGATTTTATAGAAAATTTTCCATGGAAGGAGATCTCTTAAAAAATATCATTTATTCTCTCTCAAGACTCATTTTTATTGCTTCTTCCATTGAAATATGCATCCCCTCACCGCCCATTACTGGCTCGAGATATTTCAAAGATTGATTTCTTCTTAGGACAGTTTATAGTTCCCAATAATTTCAGTACAATAGAGAATTCATAGCTCGCCGAGTACTGTTTTCTGAAAGCTTTTATGAGAAAACAGAACTACTTTTATGCACTGCATGAACGTTACCATTCAGATATCTGTCTTCAAGAAATGAAATAAGTTATAGGTGGTGGCTATTTTGCTCGTTGTGTTTAGTGTACCAATTGTTCTTCCTCCACTTCTTTTAATTTTATTTTGGACCTCCTCCACCTCCTCTTCTTGTTCTTCTTCTTCATTTGAACTTGCGTTTTCATCCTTGATTCATAACTACAAACAGTGTATACATGACTTGTTGGTCTATCAACTTTTCCATTCACATAGTTACTGAGTTTGTCTTGCTCCACTGAATCACGTGTATATATACATTATACATTTTTGCTTTCTGTTTATGCTCAAAAAACAATATTAGAACTTGGTTTCAGTTTAGGTGGTTTGAGAAGCCTTTTAGTCCAGATCAGAGTAGAGATGGAGAGTTCTTTCTTTTTCTTCTAGTGGTTATGGAAAATTCTTCGCCAAATTCTTTGCCATATTAGTTGTTAGGTAACAAGTTTTGGTTGTGATGAATGGATTGATGAGTGGCTATCAAAAAAGAGAGTGGAAAAAGGATAGGTGTGAGGAGTGGGTTGTTGTTATGTTGGGAAAAGAAACTGTGAGTGCAAGGAAATTGTTGAAGGAAAAGACAAGAAGATGAAGCCTAAATTGTAGTTTACAAGTGCTTTTAACTCATGGAAATTGAAATATGCCTTTCAACCACCCTAATAGTATTGTTTTTGTTAGGAACATCAATAAAGTTTCCTTTCCTTTTAAAAACTGAATGCAAATATTGCTTCTTGTTTCTTATTACCCACTGCAGTTTTGAAAGATGCACTAGCAAGCATGTTTACTTGAATGGAAAATGATGGCAAAACACCACTCTCCCATTTCCTTGTGGTTTTCTTCACTTGTTTCTATTTGGTTAACTTAAGGCAAATTGAAGTTTCGTTTTCCCTTTTCAACTTTTTCTTGTCTTGTTTTATGATTTTGCGTATGAACTGGTTTCCACCCTATTATTAGAGATCCCTTTTCCTTTTTTTTTTCTTCTCCTTTGGAGCTCTATAATAATGCCCATCTTCATGTACCTAGGCCCTTCTTCACTGACATAGGTAACACTTTTTAGTGACTGGGTCATGGGTTACAGTGGTATGGTTTAGGTTGAGCCGTTGCTAATTTGATGAACTGTATAAATCTAGACTTTCGAATGTAGCATCAGGTTGTGCTCTAATTTTTAAAGTTCATTCATTTATGGATCTAAATACGTGTTACCCAAATTTGGACTTTACAATTCATATCTTGCAGGACACCCAAAAAACAAAAATTAAAGAAAGAAAGAAAAGAAACCTGGTTTTCCCAAAACCATGAATCAAATGTCACTCAGTCACTCTAAGTTTGCATCATACGCTATGCAGTCTTTGCTGTATCTTAAAATTAGAAAGAAAGAAGAAAAAAGGCTTGCACAGACTTAAATTTCTCAAAATCATGAATCAAAATGTGAGTTTAATTTTTTTTATTTCGTATGTGGGGGTGGAGATTCGAATTCTTGTCGAAGATAAGTGTCTTAACTAGTTGAACTATGTTCAGATTAAATATCAAATACTAGTTTAAGTTGTTTGTTATTATATCTTAGTTAATTCAGCATCAGAACTATATGCATCTTTGCCATCTTCTCCTTCAAATTCATCACATTTAAAAGCTATTTCTGTCATTACTCTCAAGAAAGCTGGGAGTTCTCTTCCCCTTAATGGCTGACTATTTTGGCCATGGAAGATTTTATCAATATTTCATGAAGTTCCCGTGTGTGATGAAATAATAAGCAGTTCACTTATATTATAAATTATTGTTAGGTCCGCGAGATCCTTAATAGATTTGTTACCTTTTAGTATGCTGTATTTTCTTTATTTAAAAAGAATTCATTCGTATCTAATTGAAATAATTTAATCGAGTTCATCCTCAATTTCATTTATTTTACCTCAAAAGATGTTAAAAAAAAATAGTTGCAAATTGCAATTGAGTAGGCTATTACACTCATTGAGAGTTTTTCATGCTATAAAAGAAAAAATATTTTTAAATTTGTAAAAATGGAATAAACTACAGATTAGAATCATTCCTAGTCTCAAGTAATCATTGCAAACTAAACAAAATATAATTCAACAGGTGAAAGACATTAATAACCTCACCCTTTAAACAAAAAGTTAACTCGATATTGCCTGCTGCATCCTAAGATTGACAAATCTCAATATCATTAGAACATATAGCATTTGAACCAAATTGAATTCATCCAATGCTGTAACAAATCACAAGTCCAAACACAAACTAACTATGATTGGGCCTGGTAGAATATTGGGGCGATGATGGAAAACGAGCCCAAAATCCAGGTAAAAGTAGAGTTGGGCCCGCAGCCCAAAATGTTGTTGGGCACGTTATGAAATTAGCACCGACAAGGAAAGGGGAGTACAGAGGTTGAAAGGACAGTTGTTGCCGTTCTGTTCTTAGGTAGACAGCAATCTGTGCCTGCACTAAACCATATCTATAAATTAAATTATAATATCAATATCCAATTGTTTGTAATTGTAAGATTTCATTTACATCACTCCTCCACCAACTTAACACTGCACTTTAATGCCACCAACTCATTTCAATTCAAGCTTTTGTGCTTCTGTGGTGGGATAGATTATTATTTCTCATTTTCTATGTCCCCAAGGATCGATATATTGATTCTTCTCTCTTTTTTTTACTTCTTGGTCGTGGACTGCCTGTACATACCCGCCACTCCAGCATCGTTCCTTTCTTTAGCCACTCATCTACACTAGGATTGGTCTCCACTGCCACGTTTAGTTCCGTTGGCTCCTGTTAAAAATTCTACATTGATAAGATAAGGACCTAACAAATATTTATAATAGAGTCCAAAAGCTACATTGAGATGAAACTCATGAATATCAATATGGTATCAGAGTCCAAAAGCTCAAACGAGCATATGAGAAGGGACCCTACCTCTATTTTTATCCTTAACCATCTTTATAATCAAAGTTTTAAGTTTGAGATCTCAATTTTATGACAATTTAAATAGAAATATTGATAAAATATCGACGGTAACAAACGGTTATAAAAATAAAAAATGTGTAAAATCTTTCTAAATGATCAATATTAATATTATGTCTATATTAGTGGTATTTTGTCAATTTCTTTTCATATTTTTGTCGAATTTTTTTTTTTGTATTATTATAGAAATGTCGATTTATTTCTCATGTTGGTGTTGTTGATACATGAAATATTTAATACCATAGCTTGAGGAGTGAGGAATTTGGGTATGCAAATAGCTTGGAATTGGATGAGCGAGCTAGCTGGTGGGTCTTGTTGGAACAAGTACGAGAAGGAGAAAAAAAGTGAAATTTTAAGGTTACAATTCCTAGAATTGTGCTTCCATATAGACATCAATTTTGAAAACCATTCTTCTGCTAATTTTCTGATCTTGATCTGCAAGATTTCTTCTTCCCAACAATGCACTTCTTTTTCTTTTTTTGGGAGAGAAATGCTAAGTCATAGATTGATGGTTGAAAAAAGAAAAGAGAAGTTGATGAGGGTTTGCTTTTTGGGTGGTCCATTGGCAGCATAAAGTGCATTACCAGCAAACTGAGCTTTCAATGGGTGGTGCCTCTAAGTGGATCAAAATCCATCTTCTATAAATGGGTATGATAGATAGATGTGCCATCTTGTACCAATTGGTTACAGCAATAAAGAAAATTATATCATTTTCATTGCTTTACTGTCACCTCCTCCTTTTCTTAACAAATAAAAAAACAAAAAAAAAGGGTCATCATATATTATATACACATTACTACCCACCCAAAGAGAATCGATTGGCCCGTCTCTTCAAAATAATGCAACTAAAGTCCTAAATTGATTAAAAATAAGAAATGTTGGGAGTGCTAAGGATCCCACATTGAAAAAATAAGGGACGACCTAACAAAGGTTTATAATAGATATGAACTACTCCCCTAACGTTCAAACGAGCATTCAGTCCGAAAATGAGATCCA